AACATCAGGTCTCAAGTTTATCTCAGAGAAAACCATCAAGTTTGAGTATCAAACCCTTATCATCAGCGTTAAGCAAAATTTATAACCAATACTCAATGCCATGAGCCTTTAAACTTTTACGAGCACCAATAGTGTGCGGAAGAATTTTCATAGCACATGTGCCCAAGCGTACACTATAGGTGTCATATAACTGGACTCCGTTCTAAACAGGGTGTTGTTAGATTTGAAAATGCTCTGAAATATGAATGTTTAACATTACTTCATCATCTGCCACCTTACCTATTTCTGTTCCGGTTTGGAAGGTTAAGGTTGCTGGGGAAATTACAGGCACATGAGTGACTGGCGCAGTGGGGTTGTCCCTCAAAATTTTTGCGATTTACAACTGATTAACAACTGCTATGGACCGTGTGTCGCTTACCACGGGGCGAACGATTGGTTCGTTCAGTCTCTTATTATCATTAAAGAATCATCAGGGTTTAGTTAGACAAAACTTCGCCACTATCAACAGTGGATTGAACGGGGGACTCCGGTTTTTGGTTATTTTATTATAAAATTGCACGTCATTTACATTTGCTCGGGCACTGAATAAGTCACCCTTATCACTGACAGTCCATTATGCGTCGCACTGCTAGGCTGCTAATTCACCTCTCTGGCACAATCCGGGTTGGGGGCTTTTCACTGTTAACAAGAAGTATTTCTACTAAACGTTGTACCATCACAAGACGGAACCCCGGTTCTCCTACTAGGTTATTGCCGGTCTTAACCTTGCTTAACCTAAACTAACTTAATGCTTAACCAAACCTTGTCACCCATTAGCCACTCACAGGTAATAAACTAGGGCAGTTAACAAAATCTGCAGAATTCTTAAAACTATTCATAACTTAGTGAAATTGTAATGTAAATTTTAAACATTGTGTATATAATACAAAGTTAGAAAAGCACTATGAAACATGCAAAAATTCATACAACAAGGAAGCAGTAAAAATAATTCCCGGTAGTGCAGTTCACGTACGGCCCTTGCGCATTTGGCTCCTATAACCCTGTCGCATAAACTCACAATCCGTCCGCACTGAGACATAGCTGCGAGTGCGCAGAGGGACGAGTTTGTTGGCAATTTAACAAACAATTTGAAAGTAGTCTATAAAAACTTTGTACGTTTGTATTATTGATACAAATATCGAACACAATACGATACACAATCGGAATTCGTAAGATCTGTGGGCCTGGAGCTCAGTTGGCTAAGAGGATTACATTGGAATGGATACAAATTTTGTATAACCATAGCATAATGAACTTCGTTAATTGTGTAGCGTACAAACTAGATACGAGCCAAAGAATAGATTGCGCGTCTTCCGGAGAATTCTCGCACAGTCTCGGAATTACCACAACGACCGTATCATGTCTATGTTACTTGTTCCGCGGCAATGTAAATTGAGCTTTATTAAACTTTAAATGTTCTTCTGATGTAATAGGTTTAAACGGGTTCCTTTTGCACACCACTTAAGTATTCTCATTTTCTTTCTTCGTCAGGGTTAGCTTCGGTTTCATAACTTTAGTCTTTTTCACGTTCTTAACCTAATACTCCTTACCTACTTCTACTAACTGCCTTTAGTGACTGTCCAGGACTAGCATTCATCTTTTCATGGTCAAACCATTATCGTATATCCTTTCTTATACCAGTCGCTAAATCATCTCGCGCTTCTAAAGTGGTACCAACGTCATCAAATTGTAAGAAAGGACTTACTGAATTTTGTGAACTGTAAACCGCCGAACGGTCCGTGGCGGCGTGACAAATCCGTAATGTGCCAACTATACCTGCCATCGACTGTTGACCTTCCACTTCTCCCTATTCTCATACTACAAACAGAACATAGAACGAACTTGTAGAGGGTATAACAGCTACAGATAGACTGGTCAGGAGTCGTCAGAGATGCAAGGCTAATTGTTTCTTGGTACGCGTGGGGATTTATGACGTCACGATTTAAGTTCCGCATTTCGATAGCTCGTATTTATTTTGTTTGGGCAAAGGGCATCGCTAAGAATTTAGTATTGTAGGATAGACTCGAACCATTCAATTCATATTATCAATGTCACAATATTACAATTTAAAATATAACGTCAATGGATAATATGATCGTCACTTAAACATACAATAATAGTCAATATAAAATAAAATGGCATGACTAAAAAAATATAAACTAACGCCAAATATTCTCAAAATACTCATCTGGCATCCTGGGTGTTGTTTGGACCACCGACGTCGTCGTGTGATTGTAACAGACCAAAGTGCATTTGGTACGGTGTCTTGTCGCGATTTAATATCCCCTATGTTTTATGCATTTTATACGGTATCTCACACAGTTGATACTTCTCTTGGTAATTACAGTAATGCTGTTTTATTACCTAGGGTACCTAAAAATCAGGTATTTCTGATGTACAGGAATTACACTATAAAATATAAACAGTTAAAGTTTAATTCATACATAAATTTAGTAAAGGACAAATGGGCAAAGTTAACACAAGAGTCTAAAGTAAACTTTACAATAAAATAACGACAGTAATAGATTCCCATATTTAACTAATATTCCAAAATGTACGACTGTCTATTTTCTTTAGGTAATTGTAGATTTATTTTTGATAATTTGTTAGATTTACATTTCAAAGGTACACACACACACACTCAACATAGCCCCGCACTAGGGAAACCCTGTGTCGCGGGTGCCATGGACACACACATAGACAACCACAAATTACACCCAAACTCACGAGAGAAATAATTGTAGGCCATACAACTATTTCTCCCGGCCCGGGAATCGAACCTGGGACCTCTGCGTTGCAGTCCGGCATGGTAACCGTTCGGCCACGGAGGCAGTTATTATATAGGTACAACGTAGTTAGTTAACTACAATTGAAATTGGCAAAGTATTACTGTGCTGATATTTGTCAGTTAAGTAGTGTATTTAACTATTTATAATGAACCACATTTCGAGATAAATTTTCGAAACGTGTTTACTGATTATTCGTATGCTTCTTCTTCTGTTTTACTCTCTATTCATATGTTCTTCTTCCTCTCTCTGGTTGCAAGCCTTTTCCATGACCTCCTTCCACATTTTCTTTACCTTTTATCTAGTCTGTGTAGTTGTCCTTGTTCATCCACTTTCAAGTACCTTCCCTCAATTTTGCCTTCTTTAACATTTTTAATAAAACTTTTTTTAAGTAATCGAGAGGCAATGAATTTTCTTCTACTGTATAAGAACATAAAGCTCCAATAGGTTCTTATGCTTTAATATAACACGCATAACTAACAGACGTAATGTACGGACAGCGGCATGTGTCCTTTTAAACTTAACATTAAAATTCAAATCTACATATGTCACTTACGATAACAATGGCTAAAGTTCAATGTGACCAAAGACTTGTTAAACATACATGGTTTTATAGTAATTTTGAAATGAACACAAGGTACTTAACTGAGTAATGTGATATCGACGTTTAAATATTTAACCAAGTAAGCAGAGTTAAGTGTAAACTTAGCAGCTCACTGAGCATAATCTCAAATTACGCACGCTTTCAGTAACAAGCTATGTAAATGTTATGAGGCGTAAACCGGCTCCCTATAAACACCTGAAATAGACAACGGTTAGGAATTTCTATTCAACTGCTACAAGACTTTATACTCGGCACGCAAGTAATTGGCTGTGCTGTATTGTTATTGATGCTCCTGGAAGAGATGCAGCAGATATCACAAAAGTTAAATCATACTATTTCATTTTACCTACTGTCTCCAAACTTCCTAACTAAACCTTTGATGGCATTGAACTCTGCGTCCCAAGGGTAGAAGCCCTATAAATGACACACCGTGCAAGCGAAGGAAACTGGAAATCTTATCTGATATCACACTTTCCAGAAAGATTTGAATGATGCATTTGATAACCACACACCCAAGAATTCACGCGCGAAGAATCATTTATTTATTTAGGGTACAAACAACTTCTATCTACTTTCATAGATTTCTCATAGATGGCGCTACGACTAAAAAGTCGTTGAAAAACCAAATACAAAGGCACGACAACAAGCACATAGAAAAATTCGTGAGGTCCGCTGGTTCGTTCCGTGGCGTCGGTTCGGATCGAAGGAATTTTTTCTGAGTATTCGATCTTTGTATTAATAATTATAACAAACTAGTGGAGTAATTTCACAAAAATAATTGAATGTCAATTCAAAAAAAATTTAAAACATCTATACTAGCCAACAGAAATCTATAGAAATACAACTATTACATTATAGAAACAAATTTACTTATTATTAAACAAAACGAACAAATTAGGTAACGAAAAGGTTCAATCGTTATTCCTAAATACCTGTTGTTATGATCCGAGCTAATCTCCCAGAACTTCCATCAATCTAAAGACCTTATAACCTAAGTTTTGAATACGGACAGTCGGCATCAGTATCGAAGATTTAAATACAGGTTGCCTTAATAGAATTCCTTCCCAGCGGTCTTGGGAACATCGCCCATAATTTTGGAGTAGCGGGTCCGGAGATAGCAGTACTTATTCCTTACCTAAGAATTGCGTCGCCTATTGAAGACAACTTTACGTCGATTCTATTATGGGTATACGGAGTTATATCTAAAGGGGGAGATATTTTGTTCGAAATACAAACATTGTAACTGATAATAGAATAAACATTGCATGCATAAAAACTATATTGGAAAAAGTTGATCAAACTTTTGTACCATATTTGAAGTTAACACAATTATGGACCAAAATGCTGTCCTTGGGGAACACCTCATTTTTGCATCGTAATTATTACGATTTGATAACTGGTTTTCAACTTATAAACAATTCTCGTATTTTCAGATAGTTTTATCTAATTAAATACAGAATATCTGAAAATTACCCTAGCTACTTACAACCCGTTTCTTGATTTTAATCTTCCAGCACGCGTTGTTCGATTTAAAATCTTTTGGTTAATTTATCTTTCTCTTTGACCCACAGCCCGACACAGTCCCGCAAGCCAGCATCGACATGACAACAGTCCTGGAAGTGAGCGAAGCGGATAGTGTGACTGGACATGCTCACAGCCTGGCCATCACGGCTCCTGAAAGGGTCACCTTCGTCAAGGGCACTTGTCGGGAAGAGGCGAGGTGGTGGGCTGATGTGCTGAGTGTTTATCCAAGAAGCAAGGTTAGTGCTTTAATCATTATCGTTCTTCCTTGTATGCTTTGTAATTTACGACACTACTCGATCTTTTAGTATTGACGTTGTTAGCCACCACAAGGCAATGCATTCCAATAAGGTTCAACATGGCAAGAAAACCATTATATTTTTCTGAGTGTTTGATCTTTGTATTAATAATTATAACAAACTAGTGAAGTAATTTCACTTAAAAAATAATTGTATATCAATTCAATAAAAATTTAATTTATACAGTGAATAGCGACATCTCTCCCAGGATGGTAGCTGTAAAGGTACTAACTGGGTGATAAATCTGTCATGATTTCTCATAGATCCTTTAAACGCAACAAAGTCTATCTGTTTTACGACCGAATTGATCAATCCATTTTTCATTGAAATACATTTCAATCGATTTTCATAAAAACCGAATCGATTGCGATTGTGCATCCCTAGTAAGTAGTAAGTGAGAGTCCAAAGGATTGCAAGGTGTGTATTATGTGGAGTTGCCTCGTTTTCGTCTAAAAAATATTTTTTTTTACATCAAAGCTTTTCGATGTGAAAAATTTTTTTTTTAAATCGTTTTGGTGGAAATTGCTTAAAGCGATAAGACCGCCCATTGTATCACCGCTTATTTTTTATTTAATTGTATTGTATTTGTTTCCTTTTTTGGTGTACAATAAAAAAAATTGTATTATATTGTATTGTAATATACTCTACAATAATTTCGGTAATTTCAGAGGGAGGTATTTACCACTCTATATGTATTATGTATTACTTGTTTGAAGTTTAAGTAAATATGTTGTGCTTATTCCGATCTCCGATAATCATTTAAGTTAGATAAGTGGTTGCTGTACCAAATAGTGACTATGTGAGACAACGCGTCAAGCTGTCGTTAATGTAATGAGATAACGACCGGAAGAACAATTTGTCCACTTGCCCGTGTAATCAGTTAATGGTTTAAAGTGCTAACACTCGTGTTGCATGTCGATTGTACTGGTTTCTTGGAGTCTAGAATTGGAGTCGTAAACTTCTTCTTGTCATAACGCTGACATAGACTTGCAGTCCAGAACGTTTTCAATCGTGGAGAAGGGATTTGTCAATCGGCGTAAGATTCTCGGTGATTGTTGCCCAGGATGTGGCAGATTTACAGGACCCCTTCACCTATCGTCGTAAACTATTTTTTAACCAACTTCAAAAAAGGAGGAGGTTCTCAATTCGACTCTACATTTTTTTTGTGTGTGTATGTGTTTTTTACTGGAAAGAGTGTACCCGATTGCATTAAAACATGGCAAATGGACGTAATTAATTTTTTAAAGAATTGATATTCAATTACTTTTGTGAAATTACGCCACTAGTGTGTTATAATTATTAATACAAAGATCGAACACTCAGAAAAAAATCCTTCGATCCTGCCGGATTCGAACCGACGTCTTCTAACAAACCGTGCTAAGGCACGGAACGAACCAGTGGACCTCATGAATTTTTTCTGTGTCCTTGTTGTTGGATCTTTTGTATTTGGTTTTCAACGACTTTTTAGCTGTAGCGCCGTCTATAAATAAATACAAAATTATTTATTTCTCCTCACAAAGCTAAATGGCACGTATTAACAATAAGGTACTTAGTTAGTTACATTTGTGGGACACTGGAGCCTAAACTAAGTCTAGTTGATAATGGAGAGACAAGAGACACTACATTAAACAGTATTATATTAACCTTACAGTACAGTATTATATTAACCTTAGAGCCAAGTCCAAACTCCTGGTAGCACGATTTCGTGTAATCATGGCAAACGACATTTGTATTAGGAACTGTATATGTTTTTACAATATGATTCTGGAGCACTTAATAACGGAAATGCTTATCTTATCTAATGATATGTATTTAAAAACTACATTAAAATTTTAATACAATCTCATAAATGAGAAGTCTATGAAAGTATTTCGTAAATAGATGTAATACGATCTTTGAGGTCGTTTTTTTTTATAAAAACGTTATAATTGTTATGATATCAAGTAGTGTGCTTGGTGTAAGCGTTAAGCCTATCCGTAATAGTTGTAATGCCACTGTAGAACTTTAAAGATCCTGTTGATTGAAAGTAAATATTTTCAATTTGATATTGAAATATGATTTGACCACGGCGCCTCTATATCCCCCTATTACAGTTATTGAACTTAAGTCTTAATTGGCACCTTATCTCAATAATAATGAAAACACCACATTCACTAACAATTTGCTAAAGCGCCTCAGAACTCGTGGGCAATAATTTTCACAGCACTTACTTCACATTAGAGCTCGTAAGGAAACTAGAAGGGGAGAGGGGTCAAAATACAGTGTTTACATTTCTAAATGCGCAGGAGTGGAGTAATGAGTTGCGTTTCCTGCGAGAAAGCGCGTGCGTGTAAATTGTAGTGATTTTTGTAGCGTCAAGATTGATTTTGATTGGTCTTGCATTTGTTTTTTTTTTCATTTCTTTATATAACATCAAACCACAAGCGACACTCCTATCCATTTATGTTTTCCGGGTAATGCCAAGTGAAGGGACTAACAAGTTCTAGGCCTGGTGGTAAGCGATATGCCTGTTCATAACAGTTGCCGTGCCACTCAGAGCTGTAAACTGCAAAGATTGGAAGGGCTCTGCCACTGCGCCTGTCACCCTGACACATAAGTTGACAAGTCCATGTACCTATAATTTCACCAGCATCCCAGATAAGGTGGCAGTACTTTCCTGGACGATCTCTTTCACAAAGAGCTCTACTGCAATTAAAACTGGTATTATAAAGTTGCAAAGACCTGAGAATATAAAAAAAAAGTACGCAGTAGATATAATAATGACCTAGTATAAAGCATTGTTTTTCAAAGTGGTATTTACCGTCCTCCAGTGAGCGCTGTAGAGTTAAGACTCTTGCTCATACTTCTCAGGGGAGTCTGCCTTACGTATGAGCTGTAGAGTTTAACCAATATTCATTTGAATTTAATCGATTTAATTAAAAATTTCTTAATACATGGACAATTATTTATAAGCACTTTAGTATATAATACAGTTCCAATTGTATTTATTTTAAAAGAAACATGATAAATCGACTGTGAACTGGCAATCGGTACTATCTCAATTTTGACAACTTTACAGGTGAACAAAAAAATTGTTTGCGTCTGTCGTTTATATAGCATCTGGTTTATTAAATAAAAATACGTAGTTTTTAAATATTTTTATTACACATGCATATATGTACACTATGTATTTTTATTTAATAAACCAGATGCCGTATAATAGATTGTGCAACAAGTGCATAAAACGCGTCATTTTACCCGAGAAGAGTATATACATATATGTATATGGATACTTAAGTCGAGGATAAAATGGGTTTTATGAACGAGTTATAAACTGCTTTTCACTTCGATTGCGAGGAAATTAAACAGCAATATTACAAATAAACGATTATTTAATTAAAATTGAATGTAAAATTACAACAATTAGACATATTTAATGTGATGTTTTTTATTTTATGCATTAGAACATAAAATCCTATTTTGTGCAACCTACACCCGGCATAAATACGAACTTTAAGAGCATGAGAAGTGAAAAGCTTTTTTCTTCATCCTGTAAAGTTATCAAATTTGAGATGGTACCGGTTGCCAGTTCACCGTCGATATACAATTAGTTAGTATTATTTAGCAAAATTAGTTATATTTGTGTATGAGTTTACATTTACGAGATGTTTCTCTGGTGGATGCATTAGTTTGAAAGAATTCTCTATATTATTTTTTTTTTAAAACGTATATATGTATTAATTGTTATAAATGCTCGTGAAGGGGCTCCTATATATATATCCTATATATATATACATATGTACATAATTATACTTCTATATGTGCTCCTCATTCAATCGAAAAACTGTTTAAGTAAACTGCGGTTAACGGTGTTGGTTAATCATTAAGTCACTATTTGTTAGTTATAGCTATGTACTATTTGTAATGTGTAACTGTTTGTTGACCGCAATAAATAAAAAAATATTAAATAAAAATGTCGATTTCAAGTGTAATTTGCTTATATAGTCAATAAAGAACATTTTACTTTGTAACACACTGATTATTTCAAAATCTCTATAATAATAGTCGGTGAAGGATGACAAACACTACGCTCTTACCTGTCCGCGTCGTAACATCAAACTCTGTTGTTTTTCTATAAAATCCTGCAACCCGTTTGTTGTCAGTGCATCTCAGGTTACACCTGTCTATACTATCTTCTCGCAGGATGTAAACGCAAGTTTTTGCTACGCAGTATAGATATTGTAATTAGTAGTTAATTATACTTCGCTTTTGATGAGACACGTGCCCAGCAGTGGCCTCGTATGGCCCTTAAGAGTTAATTTACATTGCCGCGGAACCATAGTATGATAAACTTTGTCAATTATGTAACACACAAACTAGATACGAGTACCAACTGAGTAGAGACGAAAAAAAACTATGACAGTGCCTTAGGCCTCGATTACTATGAGAACCAATGTCACCAAAACTCACACATTCTTATTTAAAACACTACAAAATCTTAATATTGATAGGTCGTAGTTTCAAATTCAAAAAGAAGTAACAAATTCTGGATTATTATTACAATTTAAACTTTAGGCATACCTATTATGACAAGTTACAACGTTTTGATATTATATTGCAATTTCAATCAATGTGCTGCCATCTGGCGGTTAGTTTCTGAACCACGACGAATTTAGTTCTCCAAAAAATAAGCGACCGTATTGCAGGTGTATAAGCTTTGCTTTCGTTTCTTGTAACAAAAAAATTATTTCGATAAACAGAAAATTGAAAATTTATTGAATAAAACATTCCTTTTATATGAAATATCACCACGGGTAATAGTAATATTTCTGGTGCGGCTGTGATTTTTGCACTCCAAAACAGAATTCGAAAGAATGACACAACTATACCATACAAAGCGAATATGGCGGACTGAGCTCACCTATAGTTGGCACGCATTCCGATGCGTCCGCGTTAACTAA